TGTGTGTGTGTGTGTGTGTGTGTGTGTGTACCACAAATTGCATTTCTGGGACAAATTTGTACCCAAAAGTCAGCAAAGCCTGACAAAATCTGCAAAAACCTCAATTTGTGGATGTCCTCATTTGTAAAACTGTTAAAATAAAGTAAACAAAGTTTTTTTTTACTTTTGAAATTGTAAAAATGCAGAAAGTTTTCTGTGAGGGGTAGGGTTAGGGGTAGGGGTGGGTTTAGGTTAAAAAGTGTATAACTATCTGTATATAAAAACAATAGAAGTCTATGTAATGTCCCCATTTAGATAGCTAAGTAAACGTGTGTGTGTGTGTGTGTGTGTGTGTGTGTGTGTGTGTGTGTGTGTGTGTGTGTGTGTGTAAAATAGTATATAAGTCTGGCGAGTTAACAAAAAAATTTACTAGCCAATGACGATTATATTGCCAAGGTGTGCGTAGAGGGTTGAAAGGAGAATTTAATAGTTCTAATAAACTTTAACTGCAGAAAAATATGAATTCAGTAATTAAGAGCCTGCAATATAATGGAATATTAATATTGTTAAATGCATTTTAAGTATTCAAAAATATAATGTTTTCGTCCGTTATTTATTAACTAATTATTTATTTATTCCAATTGCCCTAACCCCAGCAAGACATTTTATGGGGGACTGTGTGGGACAGATGGGCTGAATTTTAGCACCAGTCCAGCCCTGATGATTCTCCTCTTCTAGGGCCAGAAACAAGAACTTCTAATAATAAAACTATTTAAAATAAACTCCTTAAGGGAGCTGTATATGCTTAAAAGTTGTTGTTGCTTCTGGAAACCTGTTAGTTTTGACTTCATATCATGTGTTAATGTATTTATTATTTTAATGTATTGTAGCCTGGAATATTTAGTGTGCATACTCATTGTATCTCTGTGTTGGAGATTTTTGATTAAAAAACAAAAAACAATTATTCCTGTGGTAGAAAACGTTGTGGCACCAAGATACGCTACTATGAAGGGGGGCTCTTGTGTTTGCTAGCCCCAGGGCCCTATGTGTTCTTAATCCGGGCCTGACAGTATGTATTGACTTTGGGGGACGTTCTGCTGTATGTTCACATTAATGCATGTTTCTTTTCATTTCTAAACTGTTTTAAAGTGCCCCTATTATGGATTTTTGAAAATGACCTTTCATGCAGTGTGTAACACAGCTCTAAGTGAATGAAAACATCCTGCAAAGTTTTAAATCTGAAAGTGCACCGTGTATAAAGTTACTGTCACTCAAAAGAAAGAGTCGATTCTGAATCACTGAAACAAGTCATTTTTAAAACGAATCCCAAGCCGTTTCATACTGACATCAACATGAAACATTAGCATATTGCTGGTCCACTTGTTGTTCTTTTCGCGTTGGTCTGAATGAAAATGCTAATTCATTCTTTGCCACTAGGTGCCACTTTGGAGCAGTAAAATAACGGTTTCCCTGGTAAATCTGTACACAAAGCAGCACTGCGCTCACAAACGCTGCTTTAAACAGGAAGAATCGCCGACAGGGCTGTATTACTACTCAAAACTAGCCTGAAAATAGCCCAATTGCTTTCGAAAATCGCGTTCGGGGCGTAAAATACAAATTTTTTTGGCTGGGTTCTCCTGGTACAATTCACATTCCAGGGCCTAAATATCACATTATTGGGGTCGCTTCAACCTGCTGACATAAAAAACAATCGACGGCAATCGCGGATTTGGCAACACTGGTCAGCAAACTGCGTTTCATATAACTCCTCCCCGAACTTCCCGCTGCCCTGTATCTTGGTCTCTCATTGGCTGTAGGTCATCGCCGATGTGCTGTTCAGTCAGAACTCATTTCAATGACATAAAAACATTTTGTTTAACACTTATGCAAGCGAATCGTGCCCACAGCTAAAGTTTAGCTGCTAAACTGTAAACACTTAACAAAACAATAATGGTGGATACGTTAGCCGAGTGCTAACGTGACTAACTGATGAAACAATACAGTTTGTAAACCAAAATATGTCTACTGTAATGTCTTAAGAATGACAGACAAAAGACACTCCGTGTCTTAACCTTTAATTATAACGCAGAACAGCTGTATCACATGCGCACCAGCCTAACTAACTCGTATCTCTCTACGGGGTCTTTTACTCCCTGCATTAACCCTATAACTACTTTAACAGCCCTTTCACAATGATTATAAAGTCTGTGCGCTACACTACATTCTTTATTATTAAACGAAGTAATTAGAATAACGACAGTTTACATTAATCGACACATTCTTAGGAAATAGTGGGTTCACAGCGAATTATCAGAACTATTTCAGTAAAACAGTAATATCATGCTTTACCTGGAAACCTACAGCTGCACTAGGTGTACATCACATATTAGCACAAAAAAAACCTAGATATTTTGAGCACTCAATTGAAAATGTACACATAACGTATCAATCGTACTTACAGGTTGTGGTTCGGAGACGCTTGTTGGTCCAAATAAAGAAGATTAGAAGCCAATGAAGATAAAAGGCAAGATTAGAGAAGCAGTCCTTGGTAAAATGACGAGCACAACAAAAGGTTTGAATTGTATTGCTGTGGTATCGTGGAACACAGTTCGTGTTAATCGACGTAGATAATCGTGTTTTTTGACCTTGCATGCATGTCAACCTGTTGGGGACTCCCAAAACCAAAATATGAACCTTTCATTACCCATAATAGGGGCACTTTAACATTTATATTAAGAATCATTATTAACAATTGAGCACCAATAATAATTGATAATAACTGAGCATCAAATTACAGTATTGTTCAGAATATAAGACACCCCCCAATCACATTTAACAATAAACACTTCATAGCATACCATAAAAATAACCTGTAGTCCATCTGAATTGGATAACTGATTAGGCAGTCCATCTCATAGTGAAAACCATGTAGCCAGGGTTGCCAGGTCTGTGAAACAAAACCAGCCCAATTGCTATTCAAAACTAGCCCAAATTTGAATCGAAACCTGTGGACTTGGCAACACTGCATGTAGCCTACCAAAATGTAATTAACAGAAGAAGTGAAATCATATTGTAGTCTTGAAATCAGCCTGAGAGAAAAAACAGTAGTGCAATAAACGGTTTAAACTGGCCTCACTTGGCTCCTCAGATTATCATGTCATTCATGTCAGTCATTAGTCTATTCTTCTGCTTCGCTGGGTTCACTCTCACTATCACCACCCTAATGCTCTGGCTCCACCGGCTCCTCTCACAGAAGGTCATCCTCGCTCCCATCCAAAGCATCTGAGATGCAGCATCTTTTGAAGCGGCTGATGATGCTCTCCGGGGGCACTGCAGCCCATGCCTGGAGGATCCGATCACAGAGCAGCCTCACCGCAGGCTTCTGTATTTTTCCAGATGGTGTGAGTGTGTGATTGCCAGACAGCAGCCACTCTGTGTATCTCTTGCACAGATTATCTTTGAATGGCTTGTTTACCACTACATCCAACACCTGTAGCTGACTTATCATCCCCCTGGTATGATCACGAGGTCACCGTTCATTGCCTGCAGTTGAGTTTTGACAGGTGCAGTCACATGTCCACAGAAAGTGCAGTGACAGATGGCAGATGTTGGCATGTCAAAAAACACGTGTTTGATCCACATTGAATGTCCAATCCAGCCATCGTCTAAACGTTACACTCTGACATACCATATTTCCTGGCTGCTTGAGAGTTGTTTGTGTTTATCACCATGAGCTTAAGTTTGCATCATAACCAGTCCTCAGTTGCTGGTTCACTTGCTTGACTTTTAAACTGCTGTGTTCAGGACAGTCACTCACCATCATGCAGTCCCCTGGCACTGTAAATTAGTTTACAGGGCCAGCTTGCTTCAGTGCTGTGGGGAATGCTCATTTTATACATACTTGGCGCCACCTATTGTTGCATGTGTATTGTTGACGTAAAAGTCTCGACCCTGATTTTTCAACCTCATTTTTTTCAGCTTTATTTCCATGAAAAAGCACTGCCTTATATTCGGAACAATACAGTAGCATATTAGAGTGATTTCTGAGGAATTACAGTGGTGGCCAAAATCATGAGAACATTAGTGTTTTCACCGTTTTAAGTCAGTTATCTCTATCTGTGCCAGTAGGAAATATCAGTTTACATTTCCAAACATTCATTTTGCCATTAATTGTAATAATCCAGTGAGATTTTTGTCTGACAATAGGCAACGCTCCAGACAGAGATCTGATCTGATCATCATCAGTCTGTCTGGAATGACATGAAGAAACAGAACAAACTGAGACAGACTAAATCCAGAAGAACTGTGGCAACGTCTCCAAGATGCTTCAAGAAACCTCCTGCAAAGCTCCCTGAAAAACTATGCGCAAGTGCACCGAGGGCAAAAGCTGCTTTAAACGCAAAGGATGCTCACACCAAATGTTGACTTGATTTAGTTAATAGAAGTTAACTGATAAAGAAAATCTATTTATGACATTATTTTTGACAGCATCCTCATTTTACAGCATTAACAGTGCTGTAGCTTTGCATCATCAAAAAGTCATAATATTTATATGGCAGAAATAGTAAGGGCGGTATATTAACTTCTTATACATACACACCAGCGACAATGTACAGGCTGTCTCCCTCTGTGCTCTCTCGGATGATGTCCTCACCAGGCCGACAGTCCAGAACCTTCATCAGATCGACCATCATACTGATCTGCTCCTCATCCAGACGACGGAGGAAGTCATTCTTATGAATGGCCTTCACGATCCGAGCCTTCTCACTGATGGCCAGACACACATAAACAAAGCATAACCTTTGGGGTTAGTAAAAACAAAAGCATTTATTAAGTTATTTTGAGACTACTGTTAAACTAGGCCTTGTTCAGACTGTCAGTAAAAATAAGATTTTTTTGCATATCCAGATATTATCCACATTTTGAAAGTCTGGACAGCAAAAAAACAAACATAAAATTGTTGTTCAAATATGATGTAAACACATATGGAGGTGGCTTGAGTCAGATTTTTACGATGCATCTGAGTCTGGATGCTGTGGTTTCTCAAATCAAATTTAAATATATAGTTCAGTCATGAAACTCTAGATGGCGCAGGCTGACGAGTTGTTAATGAAACTGATGATATTCAGAGTTAAACGACTTGGCACAAGCTGATTGCATCATGCTGCATATGCAGCCAATGAGCTTACTGCCTTGCATTTATATGGCTTGCTAGCATTCACTAGAAATTCCTGCAGCGCGCTTTCAGAGTTTCTCTGAAACCCTCCACCTTCCCCAGCTCCACCTGTATAGATCTGCTAGGGGTTATTTTATATGCTATTTGTGCCGATACTTACTAAAATAAACTTGAAGTATACTACTTTTTGGTAAGGGGTAGCAAGTTCCTGTACTTGCTTGCAGCAGCAGCAATAATCTACAACTACAGCAATAACCAACAGCAGCAGCACTTCAGCAGCAGCGTAGCAGATCTATTCTGCCAAGACCAAATATATTAACTTTGTCATATCCATCACCATGCTAAAATCTTCAGAGAGTTGGCATGATTGAAATAGTGTTTTTCGACACACAACGATAATGTCAGTGATGGAAATGCCAGAAGTATTCATACAGTATCCAAACAAAGCTGAAGCCGGCTGTGACTACAGCATGTAACCTCACAATATACACCGATTTCCTCCATCCCAAATTTTTCTTGTATGACAGAGGAGTTCTGCACTGTGACTTGGCAGACATTGGAGGTCGAGATGATGCACCTCTATTTTTCATGCATCTGTTTTGAAAGCCTCGTTACATGTGTGAGTACGTCTGTGAGGCAACCAGAGCAACCCATGCAGATAAGTTGGTTATGTCTGGATACACAAATCTGATTTGATCACATGCATTTACATGCTGGACAGTCTGTATGAAAAGAGCTGATTTGAGAAAAAAATCCAATTTGCCTGCAGTCTGAACACAGCCTTAGATTCCCAGGGTTCTTGATTAGTATGTGTTTTAAGTTACCTGGCAGTTTTATTGACTCTGTTGGCGGTGATTTCCAGGACTTCTGGTACTCGCTCCGGAGCCATGACAGCTGCCCGACTCTGTCGAACCTCAGGCATTTCATTACTGTTTTGTTGAGGTGCACAATCTGACAGGGAACATTAGAAGTGAGTCAATGTATAAAACTTATAAAACTTTACACACACTAACGACCAGACTGAAATGATCAGGGATATTACAGGGATTTTTTTATTATACAGATTGGCAGATGCTACACAGAAATAACTAGTTACATGTAACTAAATTGTGTAATTTAATTACAAAATAAATTTAATTGTAATCAGTTACAGTTACTAAGAAAAAATGAATGTGTAAATTACAATTACTTATGATTAACCATTTTTTCCAAGCCATTGTTAGATGCCAGTGTTTCCTGTCATATAGCTATGCAAAGATTTGATTTCAAAAACAGTATAATAGCTATTAAATTATATCTTGCTATTGTTTTAAATCTGTATTTAACCCCAGAATGATCTCAAAGTCAGATTTTGTGGTGGCTGTACTTTAAAGTTAAATTATTATAATCTTAACTCAAGTGATGGAGGATTTTGAAAGTGACAGTAATCAGTGTTGAATACTACTGTAAGGCTTACATGTTTGAAAATGATTAACAGTTGAAAACAATGGAAATTTAGAAAAGTAATCAAAAAGTAATCTAATGTAATCAGTTACATTACTTAAAGTAATTGGAATTTGTTACACTACTTATTACATTTTAGATTGGGTAACTTCTAATCTTTAACTTATTACATTTCCAAAGTAACCTTCCCAACACTGTTCGGCAACCAAAAGTCTGTTATTAATAACATATGAAGGAAGCAGATGAAAGCGGATGCAGATAATATTCATTAGTCTGTTCTGTCTTACCAAGCTCATCCAGTTGTCCTTGCAGCACCTGTAACAATCTCTCTTTCTGTTCAAGCTGTCTCTCTGTAAGAAGAAAACAATATTCTAGTGTGCATTAAAATCGCATACAAATGTGCACTCATCAGATAAACAGTGAAAGAAGTCACGGCTCGGATCTTGTCTTACTCAGCTCTTTGTTCTGGTTCTGGAGTTCCTGGTTGAGCTGGCATTCTTTCTCCAGCATTTGTCGTAATTTCTTGAGTTGGGCTTCCATTGGCCTGGTGAGATTCACCTTTACTAGAGCAGCATGACACTGACAAAGAGCAGTAAAAACTCACACGTCACACTGACCGACAACAATTAATATGTAACTGCAACCTTTAAAAAAAAATTTAAAAATGCAGATTTACTGAACCAGTCTTCAAAATGATGAATGACCATCCGTTACAGTGACAAAACACACAACAAAAACATTTTAGGAAGACTAAATTAAAACACAGATCTTATAATTGGAGGGAAAAAATCTGAGATGTTTTTATCCAGATGTGTTAAAATGAATGGGATTGACATAAGTCTGCGAAACACAGATTTAACCTCTTGTTCTCACCCAATATAGTGATTTAGTGTCTAAGTTGTATAGATTCATATAAAAGGTATAAAATTTGCATCGATTTGTCTTTGCAAAGTAATCATGCCCAATATGAAACCAGATTCAGGAGCATTTAGGATTCATGTTGTAGTATATAGTTACTAAACCAGTCCATCTGGAAATAGTGTTTACAAAGTACTGAGTTTATATAAACGAGCACTTTTGAGAAACATATAATCACTGCATTTATAAGGTTTACAGGTTAGTGGATTAAAAAAAAAAAGTTAAAAAGCAACAATACTGTTACATTATTGCCACACAGTTTTGTAAGTAATTTAGAATGATCTGGATTCTCACATCATAAAATCCACCTTTTGCGCCAACTGCACAAGAATTTGAAGAACAGTATAGGTGCCCTGCAAACAAGCCTGCACTGGCCCTTTATGGGCCCACTTAGGGCTGCCAGCGCAGGGCCCCTGAGAATTTGCTCATTGGCAAAACGTTGGCCCCTTAGCACTGGCCCTGCACGGGCAGCCCTCGCTTAGCCTCCGGGAAGCCTTAGCGATGTTTTATTGAAAATAATAAAGTTTGAAGTCACCATTATGGAAATAAGCGCTTGCTTTAGTTGTGCTCTTAACCCTTGACTTCTTAACTTTAATGTTTCTTTGACTGCCCTAACTGTGTGTTTCTGAAGCACATTTGTTATAGCAAAAGTTGTAAGAAGACAAACTGATCAGATGGTGATGGTTACTTATTGATGACTCAGACATCGTGTAGTGTTCACTGATTTCGTCCAGAGGCTGATCTCTGAGAACATTATTCAAATTTAATAACTTCACTTTATAGTAGCCCTAGATAACCACTGCATGCAATTTTGTCCTGCTTTACCTTTATGGGCCCACTTAGGGCTGCCAGCGCAGGGCCCCTGAGAATTTGCTCATTGGCAAAACGTTGGCCCCTTAGCACTGGCCCTGCACGGGCAGCCCTCGCTTAGCCTCCGGGAAGCCTTAGCGATGTTTTATTGAAAATAATAAAGTTTGAAGTCACCATTATGGAAATAAGCGCTTGCTTTAGTTGTGCTCTTAACCCTTGACTTCTTAACTTTAATGTTTCTTTGACTGCCCTAACTCACCATTGTTGAGGTTCATACGCTGAATCTTGATATCTGTGTGAGTCTACATGATCCCTCTTCAAATAATTTCTGCATAAAGACTTAAAAATGTTCAAAATGTTAAAGCAGGACAAAATTTCATGCAGTGGTATTCTAGGACTACTATAAAGTGAAATTATTAAATCTAACCAATGTTCTCAGAGATCAGTGAATCAGGACACTACTTGTTGAGGTTCATATGCTGAATCTTGATATCTGTGTGAGTCTACATGATCCCCTTCAAATAATTTCTGCATAAAGACTTAAAAATGTTCAAAGAAAGCAGGACAAAATTTCATGCAGTTGTATACTGGGGTTATGGTTATGTTCATCAGTTTGCACTGGCTACCAATAGCTGCTTGCATAAAATTCAAGCCATTGATGTTTGCCTACAAAACTACCACTGGCTCTGCACCTCTTTACCTAAATTCATTATAGACTTATATGTGCATTATTGTGCCATCCCAACGAAGCACAAAATCGCTTTCACATTAAACTGGTGGTGGAATGATCTGTCCAACTCGAGTCTTTCAGCCATCTTCAAGAAACAGCTAAAGACATCTCTTGAATCTACACTCGACCCTTTCTCTATTCTGTTTCTAAAAACAAAAACAACCCTTGCGACACTCTTAAAAATGAATGTTCTTCATTGGTATGAATGGTTCTATGGAGAATTTTGAACATCCATGGAACCTTTCAAATGCAGAAAAGGTTCTTTATAGTGGCTACCAATAGCTGCTTGCATAAAATTCAAGCCATTGATGTTTGCCTACAAAACTACCACTGGCTCTGCACCTCTTTACCTAAATTCATTATAGACTTATATGTGCATTATTGTGCCATCCCAACGAAGCAAGGGACCAAGGGACCTCCTCCCGCGTCGGGCCCTTGGAATTGTCCTAACCTCCCCCCGCCTTACTGCTTGTCTCAGCACTTACATATTGTTGCTCTTTTGTTGGTTTAATTGCTTCTATTGTCCTTATTTGTTAGTTGCTTTGGATAAAAGCGTCTGCTAACACTCGACCCTTTCTCTATTCTGTTTCTAAAAACAAAAACAACCCTTGCGACACTCTTAAAAATGAATGTTCTTCATTGGTATGAATGGTTCTATGGAGAATTTTGAACATCCATGGAACCTTTCAAATGCAGAAAAGGTTCTTTATAGTCAAAAAATGTTTTTTTTAGATCTGTTCCGGGCCCCCCTCCTCCCGCGTCGGGCCCTTGGAATTGTCCTAACCTCCCCCCGCCTTACTGCTTGTCTCAGCACTTACATATTGTTGCTCTTTTGTTGGTTTAATTGCTTCTATTGTCCTTATTTGTTAGTTGCTTTGGATAAAAGCGTCTGCTAAAAAATAATAAAGTTTGAAGTCACCATTATGGAAATAAGCGCTTGCTTTAGTTGTGCTCTTAACCCTTGACTTCTTAACTTTAATGTTTCTTTGACTGCCCTAACTGTGTGTTTCTGAAGCACATTTGTTATAGCAAAAGTTGTAAGAAGACAAACTGATCAGATGGTGATGGTTACTTATTGATGATTCAGACATCGTGTAGTGTTCACTGATTTCATCCAGAGGCTGATCTCTGAGAACATTATTCAAATTTAATAATTTCACTTTATAGTAGCCCTAGAAAACCACTGCATGCAATTTTGTCCTGCTTTTTTTTTTTGAATGTTTTTAAGTCATAATGCAGAAATTATTTGGACATGATCATGTAGACTCACACAGATATCAAGATTGGAGAATTTTGAACATCCATGGAACCTTTCAAATGCAGAAAAGGTTCTTTATAGTCAAAAAATGTTTTTTTTAGATCTGTTCCGGGCCCCCCTCCTCCCGCGTCGGGCCCTTGGAATTGTCCTAACCTCCCCCCGCCTTACTGCTTGTCTCAGCACTTACATATTGTTGCTCTTTTGTTGGTTTAATTGCTTCTATTGTCCTTATTTGTTAGTTGCTTTGGATAAAAGCGTCTGCTAAATGATTAAATGTACTAGCAGGCTGTTTTAGGTAACATTAACAATAGTACCTGCAGTGCATGACTATTGTAGGTTCTAGTGAAGGTGGAACTCCTGGTTCACTTGTTGGCTGCTGGGGGCCAACTAAGGGCTCGGACACTACACAGCAGAAGTTCCATGAGTGTGAAATAATCATAGGGCAAGATGGGATCAAATTAAAAATCCCATCTTTTAAAATAAAGAAATAGATAAAATTAGTTTTATTTTAATAAAATTAAAATGTTATTATAAGTCATTTTGCATGCATTCTGTAAAACTTTACCTATGGGGAGCATCTTGTAGTGGGGTTCTTCAAATAATTTTAAATTTTGTGATATGACAACTAAATTAGTGAATATTTCTGTTTATTTCCCTTCATTACATCAGCGAATGTGTCATCAGCCATCACCAGAAGGATAGAAATTATAATTACAAAGTACATATCTTCCTATCATTTCTTCAGTGTTTTTTCCACAGCCAGTAACAAACAGACACTGTTTTACAAACATTTCTGAGTTTCATTTTTATCCCCGTGCACGGTCTGTTATTGTAGTATTGATAAACTTGATTCTAAATGTCATATAGAAACAAAACAAACTGTAAATGGACACTTTTGGACAGTGTCTTCCTGTTGACACTGAGACAGATCCCCAGTGAAGACCTTGTCTCCTAGACGGCCATTAGGACAAGACCACAGGAACCAGATGAGTCCTCTTCACAATCTGACTTTGCTGCAGCCTGGAATTGAACTGCTGGTTCGCCTGGCCAGAGGAGAACTCCCCACCCCCCCTGTCTCCTCTGGCTTGCTTAGTTGGGGACACTGAATATCCAGCGATATCGTCGACTTGATTGCACAGATACTATTTAAACTGAACTGAGCTGGATGATGAAATCACTGAATTCAATGATGAACTGCCTTTAACTGAAAATTGAGTGTTTACTATTGTCCTTTTGCATTATTGACACACTATTTTCCTATTTAATACGGTTAAGTTGCTTTGACACAATCTGTATTGTTCAAAGCGCTATATACTGTATATAAAGGTGACTTGACTTGACTTGACGTGGACGGTTCTTGGCCAGAATAAGCTACAAAACGGGCCAGGTATTATGCTGCTAGTCAAAAGTCAAGCTAACTAGGAATGACTCCCATTCAAATGGCATCCATTTTATGAAGCAGTGTGTTGAATAGCAGCATTTCAAAACCATTGTTAACCTTTGAGGAAATGATTAGCTAGCCTTATTACCCTCTATGCTGTACACTTTATGACTGAAGAGGCGGTCAGGGTCTACTGAAATCCTACTGGTGGCCAGCCATCATTGCTTGCTAAAGGAAATTGGAGTGTTTAGACAGGGTTGGTGGACAACATAATGGATAACACTATCGTTTATACTGGTGCAGAGATATAAAATGATCTTTGGATTAAAGCTCTCTGCCCTGTCACGTGTCTAGAATATTGTCAATTGTAAGGCGTAGTAGATAAATGGAAAGCACTTGACAGCACAGATACACACTGCTAATCCGTGCAAATAATACCAGTTTGTCATCTCTGAGTACAATCAAATCTCTGTTTTATTTCTTAATGAAACCTACCTGAGCATTCACGCTCTCACTCCCTCCAGATCGGTGTGTGTTCTGGCAGAAAGATCAGCTTGATGGATAGAAATCATTAACCTGACGCTCCACCCTTCATCACAGGTAAAAAGGAAAAAGTGGTTATGCTAGAACAGAACCATAAGAACATTTTTATGCTTAGACATTAAAAGTTCAGAAGATTTACCATAGCTTTCAGTTATGTTTTTTTTTTTTTATCAACTTCAGCCGTGTCTCCAACTCCTACCATTCATTGTAAGAGAAAAAATACACATACACAAAGGACAGTAATGGAGGCCAATGAGAAAAGCTCTTAATTTGTTATCCATTCCAAATCCTGAGTACCCTATATTGAACAATCCTGTGCCAGTCTATCAGAGTTATTATAATGTGCCCACATGTACACACCAATGCAGGCCTGCTTACACTAAGAGTAAAGTATGCCAGTTTCACATCAGCCAAAACAGTCCCTAATCAGTAATGCAAAGGAGAATTTCCAAATGTGTCTAAAACAAAGGATGTTATACAGAAAGGAAAGAAAATTAAAGAATGGTTAAAGTTTTGTGTAGCACTGAAAACACCTCTGGGTGTCACTGCAGAATCGCTTTTAATGGCAGGTCAAAAGTCACTTTTTCCACAGTGAAAATAGTTTTCCTACTGAACTCTATTCTCCGACCGGTTTTGTCCAGAAGGGCTGGAGTATTTCTTACAATGACCAATAGCAAAATCACATTCTGCTTTTTATACTGCACTGATATATGTGACCCTGGAGCACAAAAGCAGTCATAAGCAGCACAAATTAAAATGTCCTATCCTAACAAACCATACATCAATGGAAAGCGTATTTATTCAGCTTTCAGGTGATGTATAAATCTCAATTTCTGAAAATTGCCCCTTATGGCTGGTTTTGTGGTCCAGGGTCACATATTTCCACACCCCAGCAATGAATCAGCTCACCGGCTATGAGAGCTGTTACCTTATATATACAGCACAAGCTGTCCCGGCTTAAGAACACTGGGGCTACTGCAAACCCAAGGGCCCCTTCATAGCAACCTATCTGGGTGCCACAATGTGTTCTACCAGAGGAATATATTTTTTAAAATATCCAACACAGAGATGCAATGAGTATGCATACTAAATATTTCAGGATACAAACATTCAAAGAATAAATGCATACCAGATCTTTGAGTTCAAAGCAAACAGGTTTCCAGAAACAGCAATACATTTTGAGCATACAAGTGCCTTGAATTTACTTGAAATAGTTTTATTATTAAAAATAAAAGTCACGCTTTCTTTCTTTGCGTGAACATTTGGGCGGTGTTATGCAAATATTAGCACATAGTGAGGTAGGTATGTGGGGGCGTGTTAGAACGAGCCGTTTTAGGTAGGTGTGGCTGACTCTTAACTTTTATAAAGAATATCTCTTTGGATTAGAGACTTTAGTCTTTGCAACTTTACAGATCTTCTTTATGCACCAAGAGCTTGTAACACTCCAAAGAGAAAGGAAAAATTGAAATCGCATCATATGACCCCTTTAAGGCAAAGAGGTACACATTTCTAGCAGTCTGTTTACATTATGTTAATATGAGAAAACTGTGATGTTCTACAATGCAACAAGCTTTAAAAAAAAACGTTTTTCCTACTGCTGAAAATTAGATCACTTACTGTGAAATCCGTTTTCTCTCAGGTACATCACCAGTTGAAGATTCGTGGTGAATACTTCTACAGCACTCAAACTTTTCCTTTATTTTTCAAATTAAGAAACATTTTCAATAAATGTTTATTTTATGTAAAAAAAAAAAATTTTTTTTTAAGTTGTATTGCTTTAATGCACTCTCTGCATTAAAAAAGCTGTCACTTTCAAAAGGTACAAATATGTAGTAGGATATAGCTACTGTATTAGGGTAAATAAGATACAAAGGTCTAAGTTTTTAAAGGGTACCGCCACAGTGACTGCATTTGTACCTTTTTTTCTGAGAGTGCATATATGTATACATATTTGCAATTGGTTTAGTAAGAGACATCAGGGTCACTAACCTTGACCTCTTGAGTTTGACTAACACTTTACTGCCCCCTGCTGGTGCAACAGAGGGCTACATGTCCTGCCCTCACTTCTGTCTAATTCCATTATTTATGAAATAACATACTCAAACTCAGTATGGGAAAGTAAGCACAGCATTTTGCTGAAATCTTTTAGTAACATTATAAATGCCATTTACTGTCACCTTTAATGCATTATTTAATGCATTAATTTAATGCATCCCTGCTGAAACCTTTATGGCACGACTGGTCTTCAACAAACCTAGAAGGGCCCATGTCACACCACTCTTTATCTCCCTGCACTGGCTCCCGGTTGCGGGACATTGCTGCTTGCGTATAGAACAGCCACAGGCTCAGCACCCGCCTACTTCCACTCACTTTTGACAATCTACATTCCCTCCAGACATCTGATATCTATGAGTCGCTTTGGATAAAAGTGTCTGCTAAATGAATAAATGTAAATGTTTCTTGAGCATCAGATCAGCATATTAGACTGATTTCTGAAGGATCATGTGACACTGAAGACTGGAGTAATGATGCTGAAAATACAGCTTTGAAACAGGAATAAATTGCATTGCACTTTTTTTCATACCGATCTAAAAAGATTTAATTGCATTGTTTATACGGCAGGTACTGGGTTACTCCGCAGCGGTACCTACCCGAACCAGTCTAAAATAGTCCGAATATAAACATTTAGGTGTACCGTAGTGATTATTCAGGATAAGACAAAAACACGGTTTGGAAAATGGATTCATGGTGTGCTCGCTTATTATGTAAATTTAGTTAATTTTGAACCCCAAAAAGTTACGGACTGCAGCTTTAATTTTAAAATCGCTTTGCTTGGTGAAAAATAATAAGAAAGAGGAGACTAAAATAATAAATGTAAAAGATGAGATGATTTCACTCTCTTAAATATCAAACATTTTATTCATTTCTTCTAAAAATGACACAACAGGGTTGAACAAAAATCGCAAAATGTAGGCCTACATTAAGGCATGATATTTTAATTTCAGTAAAAGCGTGTGTGTGTGTGTGTGTGTGTGTGTGTGTGTGTG